TCACCAAATGACAGTACTCGACGTAGGTTTGGGTCCTTCGGTGGGTTCATCTCCGCCGCGGAGATGATCGTTTCACGGTATGGCACGATAGGCTCACCAGCCTGAACTTCGCACTTCGCGAAGCGCTCACGGAGATCTTTCAGACATCGCTCTAGATGCAGCTCGCCTGCCGTGAGAATGACGTGCTCTCCGTTTGGCAGCTGTTCATACTCAGCACACGGATCGCTTTGTACCAGCAGCTTCAAGCCCTTGATCATCTTGTCAAGGTCATACGGGTTCTCTGGCTCAAGCGCAACTCGGACAATAGGCTGGGTACCCATCTGCACACCAGCAAGATTGACCGAGCCAGGTAATTGCGAGCAAAGCGTGCCGGACTTGAGGACATGACCCTCAAGACCACCAATTCCGAAGACAACACCGGCGGGTACTGTGGTCAAGGGCTCAAGACCACGACCCATCATGAGGTACAATGCAGTGACCTTGACTTTCTGCGGCTCTGGCGCAGCATGGGGATTAGCAGGTGTGAATTTTGGCCCGAGAACATAAACCTCGTCTCCAACACTAAGAGTGCCTGAGAAGATACGCGCAAAGCCAATGAGATGTTCTGCGTCCTCGTTGGCTTCTGGAGTCACTTCCTCGGGCGTCTCAGTCTCGCTGATGGCCGCCGAGCTCAAAGCTTCGGTAACACTGCCAACATCGGGCTCGCCACTCGCAGCTGCTTGTTGTTTCGCAATCTCCGCTCGCTTCTTCCGGCCCAACTCTCGGGCTTCCTCCGCTGTAAGTGCACCGCCTCTTCGCTTGTTGTGTGGCATCTCGCTCTCAGGAACAGAGATCATTTTGCTGACGTAAGCGACAACTGGAGCATCTTTCGACGTCTCAAATTTGGTCATTGCATCGCGAACCTCTGGAGCAACGTAGTCTGCACCGGGAGAGCTATCGATGATTTCCGGCATTCTCTCCGCTTGAGCTTTTGATGGAGGAGGCAGATACTCGGTGACCGACACCAGCAGTGCGGTTGACAAAGGCAGCCAAGCTGCGAAGAGGGCCGTCAGGACGGCGCGGGGGTCTCGGGAACGAAGAACATGTGCTGGGAGATTGAGATTCAGGGACTTTGTGATCTTCTCGACCATGGTGGCATCTCTGTTCAGCACGTATGAGTATATTGAAGAGGTATGTACAGCGCAAGGCCGAAGATGGGAATCGCAAGAGAAAGGAAATCCACGCACCCCTTGCCATTGTTACCTCCCGTAGTAGCATCGTATATGGCCCAGATGTTCTCCAATACAAGTTGGACGAACATGGGCTTGAGGTGACGGCCCTTGAGATGTTTCGAGCCGAGTACGCGCTTGGTCTTGGGATCTAAGTAGTAGTCGCCCCACAGTACCTTTTCGAGGACAGAACGCTTGATGCCTAGCTTGCGCTCATAGAGGCTCGCGAACTGCCTCACTGTGAAGGCCCAACCATCGATGGCACTGCCAAAGATGACGTTGTTCTTCTCGGGCGCAAAGTAAATGTCTTCGTCGTCCTTCTCCTCGTACTCGGCGGGGGTGTTTGTGGTGTCTATGCCGTCGCCGTTTTCTAGTATGGACGAGGACCTGGTGTCAGTCTTCTCAGTTGCTACGGCATTGAGTCGTTCCTCCATCTTCTCCCGCCAGCGCAAGTCGTCTTCCATGCGCTCGCCCTGGTAGAAGCTACCCATGACGGCATTTACCTGTTCGACAAGCTTGTTCAGATGTGTATGTGCTTCGCCTGGGCTCATCTTCAGCTCTGTGATTAGTCTGTCCATTTTGTTAATGACGAGCAGGGGCTTCAGCTTCTCGATCCACGTCTGTCGCAGCACAGTGACAGTCTGACTACACACGCCCTCTACGGCGTCCACGAGCACGATAGCGCCATCGCAGAGACGTGATGCTGTGGAGACCTCGTAGCTGAAGTCTATGTGACCTGGCGAGTCTATGACATTGATCAAGAACTCCTTCTGCTCGGGCTGTGCATCGGGTGCTGACCGGCGCAACAGCGAGAAGAAGAGCGATATGGCAGACGACTCCATGGTGATGCCGCGTAACTGCTCGTCCGGGCGCGAGTCTAGGTAGCGGATCTTGCCGGCGAGCTTGGGCGATATGATGCCGTTGGTGGCAATGAGGGCGTCGGTGAGGGAGGTTTTGCCATGGTCCTGCCCGGTTCAGCAACGTGTTGGGTGGTTTGGTGGCGGCGCATACTCACGACGTGGGCCATGATGCAAATGTTGCGCACATTGTCAGCTGATTGCTGAAGCTGAATCAGCTTCTCTGGCGGGACCACAGGCATGTCGCGTGAGGGTGCGTATGCGCGGTTTCAGACTTGGCAGTCGCGACGGTGGTGTCGAGGGGTGGTATGTCGAGGCAACGCTGTGAGTCGCCGAGGGCGTGTTTCAACGTCAATCAAAGGACCGCGGGCGAGGAATGGAGAGTTGGGCGGGCTCGTGCCTGCGACAAATATATACGCGTCGAGTGGTTGCGGAGGGAATTGTCTGAGACTGTCGGACTGCGAATGGTCGACATGGACCCCGCTACCATTTGGGTGCAGAGAAAAAGTCCCGCGTCACCGATGTCACTCGACGTCAGTAGCGCGCCTGCATCGAGCGTGCATCCAGCCTGCATCCAGATGTCACACTGAATCATACTGAATCATAGCCAGGCCACCACCTGCACCCACTGCAACCGGCCTGAGGCTCCAACGCCTGTAGCGCCAGGAGTCCAGATTTGAGTTTGCCCTCTGGACGTGGAAACCTGCGACATGTAATGAATAAGCTCCCCCGCGCTTGCCCTCGACGACGCCGTTGTGGCCCATGCGTTCCCCTGTCCCCCTGTCGCTCGCTCCTGCCGCGCCGTCGATCTCCCATAACAGCAGCTGATATACCAACACTCGTTCATCATTGCGCCCCCAACACCCTTCGCTCGCACACACAACACCACGCTGGATGTAATTGGCAAGCATGGCCACCACGGGGGAAGGCGCGCAGCCGCCAGCACCTGCCACACCGCTCAACATCCGCTCAGCTGGCATGAAGCTGGATGCGCCCGCGCAGCCCCAATTCGACAGCATCAAGGCGGCGAGTGCGGCCATGGGCGTCATGTCGCCTGTCAGCCAGAACGGCTGCTTCGAGTTCGACCGCATCATCAAGGCCGGGAACGTGGTGAAGCGCACGCGCAAGACCAGAGTGAGTATGCAGGGTCCACGCAAGGGCACCTGTGCGTGCTAACAGCTGCAGTCCTGGAAGCCCGTCTACATTGTCCTGCGCCCCAACTGCCTCTCGATATACAGGGACAAGAACGAGACGAAGCTGCGCCACCAGATCAATCTCGCCGAGATCACCGCCGTGGCGCGCCAGCGGGACTCGAAGAAGAAGATGGACCACGTCTTTGGCATCTTCTCGCCCGCCCGCAACTACCACCTCGGCGCAGCGAGCGACAAGGAGGCTCAGCAATGGGTTGACCTCATTCGAGCCGAGGCGCGCATAGACGAGGAGGAGGGCGAGATGACGCTCGTGAGCCCGACAGGCAAGAAGACCTTCACCGGCTTCGACCGCGCCAAGAGAGACGTCGTGAGCCCCAACATCATGTCCAGCTCCTCCGAGGCCGAGCCGAGGCCGTCCAGCTCCATTGCCCGAGAAGCCATGCACAGCGCGCGCCGGGAATCGCAGACGCTCAACTACTCCTGGCAACGAGCGCGCCTCCGTCTCCGACTTCGACTTCTCGGATACCGGCGGTCTTACCTCGACCACCTCGTTGCCGCGCAGGAAGCCCCAGCTGAACCGCAACGTCAGCCAGCAGAGCAACATCGGCGCCACGCCAGACGACGAGCGTGTCGTATACCACGGCTGGCTGTATGCCCTCAAATCAAAACGCGGCGTGCGCCAGTGGAAGAAGGTCTGGGTAGTCCTGCGACCCAAGGGACTTGCCCTTTACAAGTCCGACGAAGAGTACTCCGCAACCCACATAATCCCCTTCTCGAGCATCATCGACGCCGTTGATATTGACCCCGTGTCCCGCAGCAAGCAGTACTGCATGCAAGTCATCGCCGAAGAGAAGAACTTCCGCTTCTGCGCGCCCGACGAAGACACTCTGGCAAAATGGCTCGGCTCCTTCAAGAGCCTGCTCATCCGGCGCAAAGACGCCCAGCAGAAGCGCGCAGTGCAATTTGGTTCACCGACAGGTCCCGCTCAGACGCCTGTGAAAGGTATCCCCTCGCCGCAGATACAGCCGCCGACGCCGACACCGACCCAGACACAAATGCCACAGGCGACCTCATAATCCCATCATACCTCTCCCTCTCTTTTGTCAACCCTTGTGCATACGCTGGCCGCACATATACATCCCTCTAATTGCCCACGCACCCACATTTCCTTGCATCGATCCTACACTTTACGATCGCCATGATTTACGACTGCTTGTTTTATGCCCCATGGGCTGGCTACCTTTGATACCTCGTGTTGGATACCTGAGATTCTTGTTCGCACAACTGCTGTTTCTCTTACGTGTAAGCTAAGCTGGGATTGGATGGCGAAAATGTATAGTCTGTAGTTGTAGCAAGAATTTGTAATATTGCCGTTGAGTCTGAGTCTACATGATGCTTCGATATAGTGTGTGTGATGTTGACTTTGTTGTACGATTCCTGAGGGGTTGATACAATAGCGTGAAGATGTTTGATGTTCTATTATTATTACACCTACATTACTGAGATGCTAGTAGATAAAGAGATGTAGAGGCAAGTATTAGTAATGCAGACTATGCGATGCAGTGAGGATCCTTGATAGTAAGTAAGTATAGGAATAATATAGCTGTGATAATAGGGAAAGGTATCGCAAGGAGAGACAAAGATGAGTTATAAGAAGAAAGAGGAAGAGGAGATAAAGTTTATGCGATAGATAGGAATGCATATCCTAGAGTTATAGCAGTGTAGTAGGTGTCTTGATATACATCTGAACTTATTCGCGCTAGTATTGAGAACCTCCCGTAGCATACCTATACTCTAATATGAAGTAATTCTCTAACGAAGTTTCTTTTGGAGATGTGTAAGATGCAGGAACGTAGCTGCCGTGTCTAAGAGCTCTGAACACAATCGAGAAGCTTGTCTAACTTTGGGATTTTTGCAACACTTCCTTGCGTACTTGTAATCTATCGAGTATATACATGTTAATGTGTGATAGGACAGCTGTGCTTTGATGATATGTTGATAGCGTGCACGAATTCCTGCAGAACTTGGTGGCGTGCACGAGGGCACGACGCCTCAGATGCTAGCTATTGGACGAACTCCATGGTAAGCATATTGTCATTATGCCACATTGCTATCGCTTAAAAATTTGCAACTGTCGCTTGGTTTGCTTCTCGACCATACACACATGTTGAGATCCTTCGTGGGATGTATCAAGAGTCACAACAGCCTATGCGATCAGCCAGGCTTGCAGGAAGATCAACCTCATTCCAAAATTTGTCCAACACAACCCAGAGTGATTGACGTTGATAAGCTATGCTTGGTCAAAGAATGAATTCATCTTTTTTGATATCTTGTACCCACCGCGTGTCGAAGACTCTACGGTTTACAGCATCCACAGTCTGACCAATGCCAATACGCTTGTATACTGCCATTCCATTGACAAGGACCTTTTCAACGAGCATGAAGTACATGATCTTAGCATCATCATCTACATGTTCCCTTGTCCACCAAGGGAGATCATCACGATCTCCAATATCTTGTTGCATCAAGATGATGGCCATGCACTCCTTCGAATCATCTTCAAGCTGCATGTCGTAATCCAAGTGACCAGTACCGATCTGTCGATGCGATTGGTCATATATATCTAGCTCACGTCGCAAGTCTGGGTTGGTATACGGCGGTCTGCTGTCACAACTTCGAAGACAATGGGTCATTGTACAGTATGCTTCCACGCGCATGCGGATATTTCGACAGGGTCGAAGTGGGTCGTAGTCTGGTTCATACTGGATATCGAGAAGATTTGCCTGGACGTTGATATTATCGTGGTCTCCTTCATGAGTAGCCATAGCCACGTGGGACTTCCCTGGCGTGGTGGTTGGCAGGGTGTATATCATTTTGATTGGACCCCTTCTGCTTGCCCACGACCAAGAAGGAGCGACTAGAGAGATGCCGTCAATTCTGACCTCATCGCAATACCAAAGCAACCCATACGGAAAGTGCTCTAGCCAGATTCCACCAACGTACGTCAAGCCGGTTGCCTTTTGAAATTCTTGAGCTATTCCAGAGATTGCAGCAAAGATGTCCTCATCGAAAGTTAAATTCAGACTCGAATACTGTCCTACAATCCCGTACCACTGCCGTAGCTCAGCTGCGCTGGCGTGGAATGGAATATGTCCCGCTAAAGATGTTTTGATTTTGCTTGCGTCGTGGTAACCTACGCGGCCTTCTTCAGCGCGACATGTCATACACTCCCACAACAGCTCGTTCTTGGCAAAGTGAATGATCCTCTTAGACTGTATCCTCTCCTGAAACACCCACCCCCGACGGGCTAGTGGTGAGGCTTGCATGGCCTGATCCCAAGTCGGCCCGCGCAAACGCCAGCAGGATCCATCCCTGAGCTGTACTGTGGACAAACTTCGAGCTGATTGAAGGAAGCCCGAGTGCCCATCCGGTGCGTCCAAAGCAGATATGGTCAAATGCGCGTTTTGGTAGTAGTCGCCCATTCTGCTAGCTTCAGATTTCCAGTCGGCCCTGCTGTCCTGGAGGATACATAAGGCATCGATCCACAGGTAGTCGATTGAAAGCCGCCTTGTGACTTCTACTGCGTCCTTGAAGCTTTGTGGGAGCTCGTGCCACGGAATGATGCGATGTAATGATTTTATGTTACCAGTGTTTGCTTTCATGCTAGGTGTTTTGCCCCAACAATGACTTAAGGCTGCGTAAGATCCAACAATACTTGTAGATTTCGGAGTGACGATGCGAAGCACTCCATTAAGAGCGATTAGCCTCGTGGGTATCAATCTGCTGTGCTTCGTGGCACACATATCATGACGCGAAACGCAGTTGTCCAGCCATTCCTTCATCCATCTGAATCCTTCCTTCGTGTTTGGCAATGTCTGGACGCGGCGAAATATGGAGAGCTCGGTAGCTGATCATTAGTCAGCTACGTCTCTACTATCCTGTGCGGAGGAACAGTTGGCGCAATACTTACATTCGTCGAAGAGTTCGAATACTTGATTAGCATGGTTGAAGTCGGTAACATTCATCACCCGCATTCTCCTTCCATTCTGCCCATTGGTTTGGAGAATGCCTCCCTCCCTCAGTTCGAAATATAGTCTGACCGCTCGACCTGGGTAGCGTGGTGCCTCTACACAAAACACTCGATAGAAGAGTCGGCACAGAAGACACCCTTTAGCCGCCGACCGCTCCAGGGTTTTTTCGTCATGGTGTGGATAGGAATCACCATGTTCCATGAGAAGAAGCTGCTCACAGTCTGCACAAAGCTCATAGTAAGAGGACGGTTCGAATATATCTTGAGGTGTTGATGATAAAGGCATTCTGCATGGGTCCAAAAACAGATGTCCTGGCTCGAAGCCAAAATAGAACACGCAAGCAGCGAGACTGATAGCACGCATACCTTGGATTCTGCCGGAGAGGCAGGTGACAAAAGCTGCAAGACGTGTCACGGCATGTTTGTGCCTCTGTGGCCTTTGTGTTATCTCGGTGTCACTACCTCCTAGCAACAAACTGTGGCACCCGGTCAGGGGCTGCTGATATAGCTCGGCAAGCATCATACAATGATACTAACTGATGATATATCTCAAGACCTAATACGTTTACATCTCTTTAACGAGGCTAATTGATAATAGACCTTTTCAGACCTTAAGATTGTGTCAAACTTCAACAGAATATAAGAGAATAGGCACGAGGGGTAGCACGAGAGCTAGTATAAGCATAACCTCGATGCGATAGGCTGCTAATCTGTATAATTAGAATGACGAATGCGTGCAGCTCCTCAGCATCGATGCTAGTGTAAAGAGCTTCTCTTTGACAGACCTAAATAAATACCAAGGCTCATTTTCAGCCACTGTGGCTGAGGTAGCTTATCATCGTAGATGTCGTTGGACATAATTTTAAGTATTAACATACATCAAGGTCTAATATCTGCTAAGCCACCTTAAAAGATCACAATGAAACATTGCTTACTAACATTTAATGGTGTTTAAGTAGTCAAACACGCCCTGCGCGGTACGGAAACCAACTCGATTCTGTATCGTAGTACCAAAAACAGCGGAGACCGCCACTCTCCAGAGCTTCTAGTGTCACTCAACCAAGTGTCGGAAGTATCGTGCAATCATTCGCGTTGATTTAAGTCATCTGGAAAATCGCTCGATAGGATCGGAAGAAGGCCGAATCTAACACTGAGGCTAGTCAGGGATGCGTTCGGGATCGAGGAAATGTATGTTACCTTATTTCTAACCTTGTTCGGGTATCACACGCCGTTAATGTTAGCTTAGGCCGGCTTTTAGTTCTAATGTTTGTAAAGAGCGACCCAACGGCCTGCAAAATGCGTATGCTCTTACTTTAGTATCCACAGGCATCATCGCATCAATCTGCATCTGATATAAAGTTGAAGGCAAGAGTTCGTAGTGAGACAGACACTGAAAACGCTGATCTGACGCGACGCGTCGCATGTGTTATCGATAACACTAGAATGAAGACAACCTCATGGCCTCCTCCCCCACATGCCCACATCACCTCAAATATCAATAGAATTCCAGTTGCTCCGAAATTGGGCCATCTCTCTTTCAGCCATGGCGAACCAATTCATGAATATGTTGAACAACATGGCTCCGCGATCAAATCGGTACACACCATCACCCTAACCGTATCCCGTGCATACTCCTGACAAACTCAAAGATCTCTCGCGGATTTGCAAAATTCAAAAGACCAGCTCAAAGGCATGGATGCTATGGAACTCCGCGGCTGGGCATCTCAAAACCCGCTCGTTCCCGCCCGCGACCTTTCGGACTCCCTCGGTACTGCGCTCCTCGCAACCTTCCAAGGCCAAGACGATGCCGTGAAGATCCATCTGGATGGCCAAAGTGCCGAAAAGGGGAAAGATGCTGTCGTAAAGGAAGTCTACGCCGCGCGATGGGGCGCAACCCAAATTCCAATCTTAAACGTCGTTTTGCTAGCGGTGCATCACACGCCTGGGGATAAGCAGCCATTGCTCGATCTCACGCGGTATCTCGTCGAAGAATTGGGTGTGCCTGTCGACGGCACGGACGTCACGGGCTCGAGTGCACTGTACTGGAGTATTTCGTGTAAGCCCTTCTCTGAGCCGGACTTCGCGCAGATCCTGTTTGACGCTGGGGGGTCCGTCAATCAAAAGAACCGTTTCGGCGGTACTGCGGCGAGCGAGATCGCGCAGGCGGATTTGGCGGGCGATACGAGCAGGAATGTGGCTATGTTGAAGTGGTTTCTTAGGCATGGTGGCGATATTGATGGGAAGGATAATGATGGGATGAATGTTAGAATGTTGGTGGATATGATGGCGAAACGTATACCCGGTATGGCGGCGGCGGTGAAAGAGGGAAGACGGGGTAGGCAAGAGGGGCAGTGCGAGAATTGTGGAAGGGACAGGGCCGATAAGAGTTGCGCGAGGTGTAGAGCAGTGAAGTACTGCGGGCAGGAGTGTCAGAAGGTGGATTGGAAGGGGCATAAGAAGGGGTGTAGGGCAATCGCATAGGATGGCGAGATAGTTGGGGAACTAGGACAGACAAAAGTTGGGTTAGAGTCAGCCTAGCTGCACTACTCTCGTCACTGACTAAGCTCTAATCTGAGAATCGCAATGCATCGTTCTAACGGCAATTCTCTCCACAACGCCCTCATTTTGGTACTTCACTAGTATGACTATTCTCTTAACTCGAAGCACGTGTCACTACCTAGGCCCTTATAGCTAGCAGTAATTTATTTGCTAGATATACTGCCTTATTTCTTAGCCTTCCTAGCCCTATGTTCTTAATTCCTTCTCTCCACGCTGCTCTTCCTAAGACCATTATCTGATAATTCCTCCCTCCCCTTCTCTTTATAATATGTACCTCTTTGTACATCCTATCTCCTGTCCACAACATATCTCAGCCACGTGGTCGTCGAGTCTCAGCTCTTGCGTGTGATCTTCGGGGTCGCCAGGCTTCTTTGACTCGGTAGTAGGGACATAATTGTACTTGCATACCAGGCCGCAGTGATCCACAAGGTTCTTCTCTCTCAGTACAAGAGTTGTGGTTTAGAAAGGAAGAGGGGGTCGGATAAATCCATGTAATGCACATTTTCTGAATGTAGATGTTTAGGTACATACCAGTAAGACAAGATTATTACTATCTGTGTTGGCGATGAAGAGAAGCCATTGCGATAATAGGAGGTGTTTTTCACGATCTTAATATCCTTCACAGTCTTAGAGTCACAGCTGTAGAGTAGCTGTATTTTCACAGTACGAAGTGACATGCAGTTGCATGTCACGTAATAACTACCAGAATTTCACTGCTGGTTCAGTTACATGTCGCTGTCACGCCTGCTCAAGCCGCTGAATATCCCCTGTGACTCCCTCACCTCTCACACACAATGCCTCGTCCTACGGCATGATCGGAGGCGAACGCGTCCCCGTAACTTCTTGCAATTCATGCTCCGGATCTATCTCATCATTCTTATACCATTTCAGTGTCTGCAGTGCTTGGCTAAAGTCGGCCCAATTCGTGCCAGTCCTCACCCACAGCCGGCGATTGACGATTTTGAATAGGATGAAGAGAATGGCAACAAAAAATGGAGCCGTATATCCGATGGCGACTTTCGCGAACGTGACTGGCGAACTCCACCATGTAGCGCTGCAGAATCCGAGGACGACGAGACATCCAACAATGGAGATAATTGCGGGTAACGGTTGCGCAAAGGCGAGGACTGTGAAGGGCTTGTATTCACTCGTATTACGCTTGAACTGCGCGAATCGGTCGCCAATGAGGTGTTCCTTGCAACTCTTGAGCCTGGCGAAGTCAGTACATGATGTATGTAGTTCACGCGATAGGTAATACCATAGGTAATAACGGAGATATGCGAAAGATAATGACGCCCAGACAATGAGGCAGCTTATGCTGGAAGAGATCTGGACGATCTCAATGAGCTGTGAATGTTTTATTAGCTTAGAAGCATGCAGTTCCGTTGAGCTCGTGACTGACGTATTGTATGGCGTAGCCACTCTTCAGGCTGACAAAAGGTAGCCAGATGAAAGCGAAAGCCGAGAGAAGTAATGCTCGTGCTGGAACGCCAGTACTTGGGACCACATGAGAGAAACCGTTTGCCAGCCTTCCCAACCTAGTTGTTCTCGGCACATCTCGCGCCAATCCGTATAGTGTTCGAGATGCGATGTAAAGGGAGGTGTTACCTGCAGACATGACGGCGAATATCATTGCTCCATTCAGGAAGCCAGCCAGGGCCTTATGTCCGATGGCTCCCCATGCCCATAGCGCTATGATGGTCATGCTGCTCGATCCGGGCTCGGGCATAGGCTTTTCCCTTCCCTGGGTATCGTTTCCGATGCCGCCGTAGATTTGTGGAAGGTGTTTATTATCCCAAGAGACGTTCAGAAGCTGGCCCAGAAGACACAAGAAATACAGGACTAGTGCGACGTAGGCGATTGACTGAGAAGGCAGGCGTAGCGATTTCGACGATCTTGCTTCAAACGCGGTGACCGCAACACTCTCGATGCCCAAAAAGCTGAAGGCTATCATGGGAATCACATACCTTATGCATTGTTAGGATTTGAATGCAGATAATAAGTAACAACTCACGCGACTGCGCGAAACCCGTTCGTCGCATAATCAGAATTATGCTGAAACCCTACTTGGATAGCTGTATCGGTTAGCACGCAAGTGGTTAAGTCATTTGAGGTACTTACGTCCATTTCCCGACCAATTTCCCTCTGGAAGAAAATTAGGATGTCAGTTTTGATATCGTCACTTGGTCGTTGGAAATTGAACAGTTGACTCACCTTGCGCAGCCATCACGTAGAGAACGATGGTCAATCCAACAACCAGTATGATCTTGAGAATACCACTTACAGCCTCTACCCAACCGAACGTCCCGACACCAACAAGGTTGATGCAGACTAGTAGGGTCGGAGTAGCAAAATAAAAGAGTACAATCTGCCAGACTTGCTTTAATCCCCAATATTCAGACAACTTGGCCGCCATTAGATTTTGGCCAGCGAAGATTGATATATATGTAAACCTACAAGGGTTAGTTTCTTTCTTTAGAGCGCTATTAGCAGACTTGCCAGTACGCAATTCCTACAACCCAAGCATAGTCCTTGTCGACGAATGCGCGCACATATTCTACAATGGCATTGGGGGCAGGAAAGAGCTGGGTAAGCTCACTCAAGCCTTCCGCCATACAAATCGCGATAATTCCTGAGCACGCAAAACGTAAGCGCAAAATAGGATGGTGTATCAATGGAGCCTTGCTCACCCACGATGACGAGTGCGAGCAGAGCTCCCCCAGGTCCAGCGACTTCGATGGCAGGGCCGCCGGTACTGAAGATGCCACTACCAATCAACGAAGTGATCACGATGAACTGTCTTACAGTCAGAAACTTTATGAACCTTCAACCTTGTCGCCTAGAAAGACTGTGTCTGATGTAGATTGATCTGAAGGCTTCGGCGTACAAAAATCATCCATCCTTGGAGGTTCTGTCTGAAAATTGTCAGCCAGAGCGTTCGCAACTCCCAATAATTTGATTGCATCTACTTCAAATCCGACGATGTCGCGTTCTCCTTCATCTTGCACAAATTATAGATTATTTAATGATTTTGGGGTTGTGAAATTCTAAGTAAGAGGGTGCAAAGCGTCGAGGCCTCGAAAATAAGTGGAAGGACGCTGTACCCTGCTAACGGCAGGCCATAGCCGCTGAGAAGGATCTGGCCAAGTGAGGCTGATTCAGATTGCCTCGCCAACGGGTATTGTCCAATGATACTCGGCCTGATTATGGAGGACCTCATGATGTGACTGCGCCTCCAAGCAAGGCAGAAAGCTATATGAGGAGGGTGCTCCAGTATTGTCGCTACCCTGCAAGGCGATCTCCTGAAATTATTGCAAACCACCGTAGCCATGCCTGCAGTCCGTAATGTCATCGAGCCCGCTCAAACGCGATACATTGTGCAGTCCGGGGACTTGGAGACTTTTCTGAAGAAGAAATTCGGATACAGTTATGACTTTGACATCAAAGTACGAAAACTCGACACGTTTTACGGAACACAACTGACAAAGGTAGCACATAGCCGATCGATGGACATTCGTTGCACCGGAGATGGTATCTGCAGTATGTGGTCCTGACTTGAAGTGTACGATAAAGGCTTACAGAGTACAGGAAGATATTCAGTGAGTTGATCAACATAGATGACCGCTATCGTTCACTAATAATCCTATTTCTAGAGATCTGATTGAAGAACTTGAAGCGAATGCGTAGAGTAGAGATCTGGATGGGAATACAAAGCCAGGAAAGATGGGGCTCTGCGATCGCATGCCCTATCAGAATACCTGTAATTCAATATTCATCCTGATACAAACAGGGGTGTACTGTTGGTGTATCAGCCTGATTGTGATTTGCGAGGTCATTCAGCCGTGTGCGGCTGGGTTTTCCATCCGCCGTGGCTTTGGGGCTGTTCGCTTACTTGGACAGGTGGCAATCGAAGGCGCATGCAGCCTTCGTGCGGTGGCAATGCTGGCACACACTAACCATCTGTCTTCACCGGTGTACAATCTCTTCTAAGCTCTATTGGACTCTTAAAGGACCGCGTCTGTGTTACGACCGCTTTTGAGCTGTTTCGCCAAACACGCAATGACATCGCCAACTGTTCATCCAGAACCCTGGCCTTGGAACTCGTCGAAAGTAAAAGTGTTGTTGAAAGATGATGCACCATCTGTTAGGATTAGGATCGATGAAATCGGAAGAGGTATGCACGAGGTCATGGCAGGAGATTGGCTTTTGCTGACCGATAAGAAACGTTTTGTTCTACGTTATGCTCGACACCGATCGAAGTCCGAGCGGCCCTCAAGCGTAGGGCGACTGGCCAAATTAGGCTGCGCATCATGTATGTCAAGTCGTCAGACCCTGAAACTATTCTTAATATTGCAACTAGTTCGATCTACTCCAGTAAAACTATATTCCCGCTGGACGTGACGCATGAGCTCTTAGTCGAACTATTTGAGGCGTACAATATCCATCGAGAGTTTGCAGACGTAGTAGCATCATTTGGCCAGGAGCCGAATCTCGCGGAGAGAAGCAGCAATAACTCGACGATCGATATCAAGGAGACTGGTGACTGCGATATTTCGTATCAAATTCGATACATTGATAACAATCACCGTGGTGGCCAAGACCCATGGTCATTGAGACATAGCGGTGTGTTTCACCAACACAGCGCCCATGAAGCAGCAGACACTGTGGTCTTACTGCATCCTGTACGTCAACCGTTGATTGACAAAGCTATCGCGGCATTGAAGGGAGATGCCATTGGGCGATCGAAAATCTGCGAAAATCCATTCCTGCTGCACACTTTGATGTTTGCGCAGTACTTCGCAAATTGGCGCTGGTATCTTCGATATGTCGGCGAAAGATTTGCATACGAGAACAACATAGCTATGGTTGAGCAGCCCGAGGATGCAAACCCTCAATCAAGCTTTAGAAGAGTACAGGGCCTGAGAAACACGATGGATCTCGTCCTGTCGACGCATGCTTGCTGTTCCGGCAATCTCGACTTGATCCAACGTTTATCTAGATGCTCGCAGCCAGCAATACAACGACTCCAAAGTTTAGAGTCGGCCGAATGTAGGATGAAAGGATATATCGAAAGTGCAGATGTTCTAAAAGGTCGGGTGCAGAACCTCATAGACCTGGTGAGTGTCACGATTGGCCCATTATACAACGCATTGTTTGACATAAACCAGATTGGCTACACCCTCACGTTGCACAACCAAATGGAAGCCGCAAAAATAGATAATGAGCTGCGGAGCCTGACTGAACAATTGAAAAATCTCACAGAAGACACGGTAGATGACAGCGCAACTGTGAAGATAATCACACTCGTCTCCGCTGTGTATTTGCCTGGAAGCTTCATCGCCGTACGTACTCTTACAGAAATATCAAATTATGTGGCATTCTGGTTCTCTGACCACTTCGTAGACCCTGTTTGGAATGAACTTTTTCCTGTTCGATACCGAAACTAGGAAGCTGGTAATCTCACCAAACTTTTGGATCTTCATCGCCACTTGGCTTCCTTTGATCTTCCTTACTGGAGCTGTATATGTACTCATCCTTTTCATGAATTCAAGGTCGAAGAAAAAGCCTTTCAGCCTATGGGGGAGGCGATCTACCGAATCAATCGATGCTCCGCGAGAAAAGGTTCACGCATGAAATGAACCATTTAAGGTAGTACCACAGCCTCCTTCAAACCGAAAATGGTTTTGTAGGCGACTCAGAGACCCTCCTCATACACGTTGATCCGTGGGTTTCACTTCGAGGTCGACACTGGGGTGTAAATCAGTCGTTGATTTTTAGAGATTATCGTAAATCCAATTTATACGTTTCATGCCTTGGTCGCATTCGGCGCGCGTTCAATTACGTCTCTATTTCTCTACTGGTATTGCCATAACTTGCCCATGCGATGTACACATAACAATGGCAAGGTCGTTACTGTCAGGCCACGGTCTTACTCGTATTGCCTTGACTGTTCCTGAGAACGAGGGCCACTTTGCAAAAGGTTTCTTTGCGCCTCTTTCGATAGCAAGGTTTGAGTCACCAACAACGCGGTGTTTCCATAGTCGCGTATGCAAGGTACCTTTCTCGACAATAAATAGAGAGCGATCGCCGTACATGCATGCGCAAGCCACTTTCGGGCATTCAAAGATGTGCTTCGGGAGCTCTTCAAAACTGTCGCACTGCGTGCTGCGCATCTGAGCTGGAAATAATTCACCGCTTTTGGCATGCACGATGCAGCCAGGACGAACGGCGTATGGAATCAATGCTGCCTCTGGGCTGCCATGCCGCTTCTGATAGGAGTTTAGCCTTTACATACGCGAGGATCGAGACAATCGAAACTTACTGACGGATAGTAGCCTTCTGACTCGGCTGGAACGGCGATATCCTGAGAATTCTCATCAATGCGCCAAATATACAAGCAATCATGAGGGCTGCTGAAAGCCCAAGCATAAAGCAGGGTGCCATTATCGTTGAATGAGGCATGGGTAAACGAGTGTTCCTGGTTAAATGCAATCGGCTGCAAATTGGCATACGCACTGTGTTGGGCGCAATCAGTATTCACTGTTGCACATATGAATAGCAAACCACTTACTCCTTCTTTACGTAGTACACATTTTCGGCACATACGAAAGCCAGACACCCATTCTTCGAGAGACTGATGCTTAAAAGTGACGACAAGGGCGCACAGCTTGACGCGATCCACGTTACCAGCTCATTTGCGCCATCTTTAAGACATACCTTCCATCTGTTAGCGATAGAATATGGAAAAGAAAGTACCTCCCTTACAATGTTTTGGCCGTCTTGCGTATTGCCCCATACAACCAGCTTATCGTCAGAGAGCACGAGATGCTTCCAGTTTTGATCCGGATCCAAGGTAACGCACGGAAGGCGCTGACATCTCCCAAGAGCTATATTAATGTCGTGCACAACAACTTCTCTAGTCTGCGAGCCCGGGACGGATCTTAGCTGCGCCACATGGAGTCCAGAGGGACATAAGGAGATGTCGTGCACCTTGGCTTTACGTGTGTCTAGCATTGCAAATTGTTTAATACTCCCAGCACTTCTTCGTGTTTTTGGATTGGCTATTACTTTATGAGGCTCACTCAGGGGTTCTTCTTTGAGAGACCCCCGGAGTGAGCTTCGCCCGGAAACAATCTTCTTTGGTGAAACCTGCTGATACGTTCCACCGTCATGTGTAGTTTGCGTACTTTCGGGCAGGGCAACAAGACCTGAGACTGGTATCAAAGGTATCGTTGCTATATCTATCCTTATAGACGGTGTTTCAGGCCCTGGATCGGCTGGAGATGCTGGTAATTCCACTGGTGTCTCTGGAGACGTTGGGATATTAGGTGGCACAATGTGATCGTTTAACGGACAGTTTCGGGAGTTGACTGGCATTTCGTCGGAGCTGATGTGAGTTTTGACGTGATTCATCATGAAAACCAGCTGCTTTGCCTTTGGCCTCTGTGATGCGTCTGTCACAAGCATTTTCAAGATCGTCGATACGCAGCACTCAATACCCCTATTCGGGGACTGGTCATCAGATACAAGCTTCCTTAGCCACTCCAAAACTTCCGCGCGCACCTTATACATATGGTGGTCGTCGTTTGGCCGCAGATGTTGTGACGTGACGGACTCGTAGAAGTAGTCATTTTGATGCCGACCAGTCCTCTGACTCCTGAATGCACTCACGGCGGAAGCTTGGCCCAAAGCAAAAGTAAGCACCTCGGAAAAAATGCATGCAAAGGCCCAAATGTCGCCTTTGCGTCCCACACTCTCGGTGTTGGAGCCGACTTCGTTGCCCGAATTCTTCGACGTACGCCTTGAAACTCTGGAGGCTGA